GAAGGGGAAAAAAAAAAAAAAAAAAAAAAAAAAAAAAAAAAAAAAAAAAAAAAAAAGAATAAAATGCCACATGCATTGAAAGTGCAGGGAAGGAAGGAAGGGTGGGGGAAGTGGGGGGTTCGGGGTTGGAGGTTGGGCACTTTCCTGTGCGGCTGCAGCTGGTGACCAGGTCCCAAAGGACCACCGGCCTCGTGGGCTCGCTGCTGCTCTCTGCAGGCCGCACAGGAAAGGTGCAGCCCGAGGGGTGTTACGGGGTGGGGCGCAGTCACTCCAATGCACAGGCAGCGTTTCCAGGGAGGCAGGCAAGGACCGGGAAAGAGGGTGCAGGGGTGGGGAGGGGCATGGGAGGATGGAGGTGGATAAGGATGGAGGCAAGGGCCCCTTTCCTGGAAGCCCCGGCCCCGCCCTTGCTCCTCAGCCAATGGACACACACCCTCCATCTGCAGTCTGAGGCGGCCTCGGCTCCCACCTGTGCCCATCTGCCCTGCTGTCCCCATCCTGGACTTCCCACCTCCAGGCCTGTCCTGCATTTCTGTGGTGGGGGCTCCCCCTCTCCTCACACCCCACCCCATCCTTCTGAAGGTCAGGGGAGCAGAGCTGGGACCTGGGCAGGATACACAGATGGGATGACTAGGAGAGCACTGGTCTTCAGAGGCCACCGCGGGGGACAGACTGGTGACAAGGCTACTTTAGACACAGCCCGCTCTTTGGTGAGAAGAGGCCCAGACTTCAATATGGAACATCGTTCCCCATACACAGACACACACGAGCCACCAACCCACACAGAACAAACACAAGCTCCCAAACACACCCCCACCACTCTCGACCACACTGATACGCCCACACCCTAACACACGCCCCTCCTTGTGCTTCTAAGAAAACCTAAGTGCACCCTGACGCCATCAGCTCCCCTCGGCACACAGACACCAACACCCCAGCTCTGATCCCCGGGGCTGTCTGCCTGGCGTGTGGCCCTTACCGGTCCGTACTGGTTTATATCCTTATTCTGTGTTTCTTGCAAGGCTGCCACAGTGGCCGTAGCTGTGGCTGTGGCCGTGGCCGCTGCTGCTGCTACTGCAGCTGCTGCAGCAGCGGCTGCCGGCTGAGTGAAGTCAGCGGGCGGCCTGGTGTGCGGAGGGATGCCCATGCCAGCAGGGGCATTAGGACCCCCAGGGTAACTGCGAGGGAGAGAAGAAGGGAGAGTTAGATGCTGCCTGAATCTCAAGATGAACCCATGACACGCCCGCCTTGGGCGGGGAGGGAGAGGTCAGGCCATGCCAGGCCCTTGTGTCCACAGCTCACAGAGCGGGGAGGTCTAGACTAAGAGCCCGGCGGGGACAGGGGCCTCCTGGGGGTTGTCAGCCCCTCGTGCCACTTGGCAACCACCAAGCCGCCAAGCTGCTGTGTTCCTGGAGCCCCACCCGGGTGCTAGACAGCCATCGCTCCTAGGCACTAGCTCATGGCGCCCTCGGCACACCCGTCGGCCCACCTTCTGGAGGACACCTAGCCTCAGAGAACCCGAGCAACCCGGCCCAGGGCCTCCGGCAGGGGAGGGCAGGGTAGGGATGCAGCTGGGCTTCACCACGAGGCCCTACTGCACTGACACGTGGCAGGGCTTCGGTTGGCCCCGGGGTGCCTGGCAGGGGTGAGGCCACAGGGCAGCCTTGGGCAGAGCAGGGTGGGCGGCGAGAGGAGGAATGGGGTGCCTCTGCCCCGCCCCACGCCCCTTCCTGCCCTCCCCCTCCCTTGGACCGAGGGACCCCAGCCCTGCACTCTTCCTCCACACCAGCAGAGCAGAGCTGACCCTCCTGCCGCCCAGCTCTCAGCGTCTCCCAACGTATAAAGACGTGACACAGGGAAGGGACATTTGAGAAATGCAACTGCAGCCCTTCAACCCCACGGGCTTGACGGCTCTCAGAATGCGCCCCGGCCGTGCAGTGTCTGGCCTGCCGGCCGGCCCCCAAAATGAAGGATAACTGTGCCCCGCAGGCAGACGGGATACCTGAGAAGGAAAGCGCCAGGCTCCCCATGCTTCCCAGGCCAGGAAGCACGTGCTGGGATTCACACTTGACTCCTAAGCCTGCCTGGAGGGGAAGGGCAGGGCTGATGTGCCCCTTGCGAAGGCTGCTCCCTGCTCACCTGGCCCCGAAGCCCCCGCTGCCAGGGTAGTTGGGCCGGCCGTACATGCTCTGTGGGATGTAGGGCTGAGCGGGGCCAGCCTTGGCTGAGAATTGCTGCTGCTGCCCAGCAAACTGTGGGGAGCTGAGGCCGGGGTTGCTGGTCGTCATGCCCGACGCCATGGGGTTGCCGCCTGGATTCATGGGGTTGTTGGCATTGGCCATAGGGTTCCCGAGGACCTGTGGGCAGAGAGAGGGGCTGTCACCCTAGTGGGTACCCCAGGTGGCATGGAGATGGAAAAGGAAAAATGGCAGGGGTGGGGGTGGAGACAGAGGCAAAACAGAGGAAGGACGACTGAGGAAAAGGAAGAGAAGGGCGAAGGGGGGTTCATTTCATCTGCGCACGGACGGTTGCCACGGTATACGCATGATTAGAAGGGGGTAACCCAACACGGAAGCAGGCAGCGGAGATGAGCACTGCAGCCTGTGACGGAAGGCGGTGAGGCTGGTCCAGCACCAGGTGGCAGGTGGGAAAGCTCTGGACCTCTCGGCCCTCCTGCCCTGCAAAGCCGCCTGGATGCCCAAGGGTCAAGCCACACAGAGGCCCTGGGCTGCTGCTCTGTGAGGGCAAAGAGAAGCCCAACCTGCCAGCTCTAGAGGGCGGCAGGGTCCTGGCCGAGAGGCTCCCTGTGGCCCAAGACCACAGGTAAGCGCACTGGTTCCCTCCAGGGCGGCAAGCGGCCCTGAGCCTTTCACGTGGCCACGGCAGAGGCCCAGCAGCAGGGAGAGGAAGGAACAGGAGCGGGAGGCAGGGTTGACTAGGGATGTGAAGTGGAGTTTGTCACAAGCTTTAGGCTCCATCTTTTGAAATCTAACCCAGGCCGTCCAGAGTCAGAGACCCCAGGTGTTGGAGCCCTGAGGCCAATAACACAGGAAGTTCTCCTGTTTATCCAACCAAAGTAAATGCCGGCCAGGAAAGAGCCCCTTGCTGTGTGTCAGGTGAAAAACATTCCCTCAGGAAGGCCCCGGGGTTGGTTGGGGCAGTGCACAGGGGCCAGGGGCCGTCCTCCTGGGGCAGGTGTGGACCCATCCTGGGTAGAGGTGTGTCCACAGCTGGGTGTGCCCTGAAAGCTGGTCTTTCCAGCCGGGGAGAGCCTGGGAGAGTGACCAGGGCTAGCATGGCATGGTGACCCGAGGGCCTCAGGGTTCGAGGCATGACCCCCGCCTGGGAGGGGCTGTTGCTGGGGGGAGGACAGGCTCTTACCTGGCTCTGGGATGTGTTGGTCACTCCCCAAACCGTGGTGACCACGGAGAGGGAGCCGGGAGGCTGGTTGGTGTTCTGCTGCCAAGGGACAGAGTCATAGGGGAACGACCCATCACTGCAGAGGGAGACAGGGTGGGGATCCTCAGGGGCTGCAGACACAGGCGCAGACGGAGGCATGCCCCATCTACTAACCCCTCCATGCTCTGCGGCTCCCAGCCGAGCCCAGGTGACCCCCATTCTCAGTCAGTTCGGGATCCCCCTGGCACGGTGTCCAATGCAGAACAGGTGCACCGATCGTATGACAGCGACCTCTCCCCCCATCACTGTGGACGTGCCACCCCCATGGCTGTCTGTCTCACCTTAGCCCAAGTCCACAGGCCATGCTATGGAGGAAGAGAGACCTGCGGGCTCAATCTAAGCTCTGCCTTCGACCACGCTCCGCTCTAAGTGGCTCTCCAGAAACAGCTCTGGTTCCTCCGCACCAGCTTCCCCTCAAAGCTACCCCGTCCTTTCTCAGCAAAGGTCAGAAGGGCTCCAGTCTAAGTCTCGGTTCTTCCCCTTCCTCCTGACCCCTCAGAGTGAGGTGGCCGCCCTGCCCGGCTGATCTGGTCTTTGCAAGGAGCCTCCTCATGTCAGGTTTTCTTCCTGGATGACAGGTACTGGCCTACCTGCTGTGCTTCCTCCCCTGCTCCCACCCCGATCTCTCGCGCACCTCCCTGCCAAGCCAATCTCCTTCAAACACCTAAGACACTCGGCACAATCAAAGACCTTCCTTCAACGGCTCCAGTGTTTACACACAAAGTCCAAACTCACACAGCAGAATGGTTTACCCCATGGCCAATCCCACCCTACCCTGCTTCCCATCTTGGTTCCCACCTCTCTGGGAGCCCCTGGCCCCAGCTGTTCCCCCAGTCTCCTCTGTAGTCCCAGCAGTACCCACCTTGTTTGATGACATCTCCCGAGGAGCCCCCAAAGGTCAGAAGGCCCGACGCCCAGCCCTGCATACCGTAAGTGCTCAGAGGTGGCTTTCTATTAGTTGCCATGATACAGATGGAGAGTGAGGTCCAGCAGACCCCAGGGAGAGGAGCAGAGGCACAGGCTCAAGGAGGAGCCAGCGAGGCCACAGTATAAAGAAACTGCCAGGGGTGCCACCCCCAAGGAGTGCTGGGCTGGGGCTTCCTCTCCCCTGGAGCCGGTCCTGCGCTGACTCTCCAGCACCTCTTACGAGAGAAAATCCCAGACACGGCCCCAGAAAGAGCAGAAAAGCAGAGCACTCACATCTGTGCTACCACCTCTGCCCACGGCGCCCCGCCGGGGGTGAGGCCTGCAAGGCAGCACTGCTGGGTAGCCGAGGAGTGGGGGCAGGTGGGAGAAGGGGCTTCTGGAGGAGGGTGGCTTGGTCGGAAAGCACCTCATGCCTCTCTCTGTCTGACTTGTGCCTTCAACACAGGAAGTCAGCAGAAAGCAAAAGCTGACTCATACCCCAGCCGAGCAGCCAGCCCAGGCCCTGGAGGTCGGGGCAACTGGGAATGGAGGTGTGGGGAGCCAGCCCAGAGGTCAGACTTCCAGGAAGGAGGCGCAGGACTGCATGACAGGTGGGCAGAGGGGCGCCGGGGGTCTGAGCCTTGTGCCCTGCTCCTTGCCAGGCGGGGCCCTCGGCCAAGTTGGGTCAGGCTGGAGGGAGGACCGTGGCACTGACTGCCCATGCTTGCTTGCTGCCCCCTTGCCTGGACACCCTCTCTGCTTGGCCAGGCCCTGGTTTCCTTCCTGTCTCTGCTCAGAAGTCACCTCACCGGAGCGGCTGTCCTGACCTCCTGGGAGAAGAGGACCCCCCCAGCCCCAATCCCTTTTCCTCTCACTCTGGCCTTTTTTTTGGTACTGCGGGTACAAGTCCTGCACTTGCCCCTCCCTGGCTCAGGGCCCCGGCACAAGTTTCCGAGCCTGTGCGCACTCAGTCTCCTCATTTGTTAAACGGGCGTCAGAACAACACACTCCCACCCCCGCCCTACTCTGTGTCTTCAGGCTGCAGGTCATGACACAAGAGTGACAGCGCTGTGACACTGAACCATGAGGGGGAAAAAAGAGGGAATAAAACAAAGTAATCAAGTGTGAGCACATAGTAAGGAGGAGTATCATCCCTTGAACTGACTTCTCGATGTTACGCACGAGCACACGTGTGCCCTGGGTCTCGGGGTAAACGTGCGCATTACTGTGGATCTCAGGTCGGCTAGTCTGAACATGGGCCTCCGTGGCCTAAGTCTGACACGGCTCAAAGAGGAGACTGCAGACAAAAAGGCTTCCTTAACTGGAAAGTGTCACAGGCTTTAGCATTACTCATGATTTCTGGGGGTAAAACAGCAGGCCTAGAACTGCGGGGAGAGGAGCCGTCCTCAGGGAACCAGCCTGACTGCACCCTGCCTCTGCAGGCCAGGTGTGACGTGGGTCAGTGGAAAGGGGGTGAGGCCCAGATGCACAGGCCAAAGGTGACCGACAGCTCACACTCTCTGCATCTGGGGGGCACCGCTGGGGGGTCTGGGAGCCCAGAGAGCCCGGATGGGGCAGAGAAGCACAGGAAAACAAGCAGGGCCTGCCCCTCAGCACAGCTGGGCTGGAAGAAGCCCCGCTCTCCCAGGAGGTCACTGGGGACCCGGGGGCACCAGCTGGTCCCAGGGCTGGCACGCCAGTCTCACAGGGAGGCCCTGCAGGCTATGGTTTTAAACAACAAAGAGGAGACCCTGGACACCCGCCCTCCTTCGGGGCCGTCACCTTAGGTGTGCCTGGACTCAACACAGGACCCCAGCAACCGAGCAGAGCTTAGGCCCGAGTCTGTCCTCTCTCCCCAGAACTCCTGCCCCGTAAGCTCCCACCAACCCTCCAGGCTGAGGTCTGGTTCCGGCCGAGGTGCATGCCTGGCAGGCTCAGGAAGTAAAGCCCCCCGGGAGCCCCTCCGAGCCTGGCGGGGACCCACAGCTGCTGCCTCACCTCCTCAGGCGGGGAGGTCCCGGCTCCCTGGGATACAGGCCCTCGAGCAAGCTCCCAACTGCCCTGCAGCTCGTGGGTGGACCTTGCGGGCGGAAACCGGCTCCTTCCTGTTTTGTCCCCTCCGCCCCTAGCTCAGTGAGAAGCAAACTTAACCAAGGTTCCCAAACTGGGCACTCCGCTGTCTGGCTGGACGGTTCACCCCAGAGCCCACCCAGGTGCACACCTGGCGTGTGCGGGGTACACGTACGTGTGCGCGCGCGCACACAGGCCCTGCTGGCACGATGCTCTCCACGCGTGAGGCGGGGAGACAGGCACATGCTGTAGGGTGGTCTCGGGGACCCGCTCGCCCCCACTCGCACCTGCTACAAAAGCAGAAGTGGCAGCCGCACCGACAGGGCTGTGACTCATCTCCTGGGGAGACGGCTCCTGCTGGCGCGGAAAAGGCACTCGCCCCCATGGGCCCACGGTGGCAGTCAGCCCTGCCGACGTCTCTGCCCAGACTCAGACACTGCTGTCGGGGCGGGGGGCGGGGTGCTGCCTGGCTCCCGGTGCCCGAGGATCAAGGACCAGCCAGGCTCTTGGGCCCTACCAGGGTGGGAGGGACTCAGGGTGCTGAAGAGGAGGCCTAGGGGCTTGGGGGTGGCCGGAGGCTGCGTCCCTCCTCTGCAAGAACTATTTCCCCAGCAGACATGCTCAGCCCAGGTCAGAGGTCCCTGGCATTGCAGGGCTGCCCACTGGGAACCACTTCCCTCCACCTGTCCATACCTGGCTCAGAGGGAGGCCAGCACCCCTGGGATCTGAGAACCCACTCTTAGTAGTCCTGCCCAGCTTTGCACACCTGCAATCCAGCATGGTCTGGTCTCACGCCACAAGCCACCCCCAGACACAGTCCTGTCCAGGCAAACCTGCCCCAAGAATCCTGTTCCACCTACAGAGGCACCAGTGCCAGAAGCCACTAGGATTCTCAGCAGTGTTCTGCCAAGCAACTCCCAACACAGGGGCAGCAGCTTCCCTACCTCTGTGCCTCTTCTCGGACTCGGACTCGGATGCTTCGTCCTCACCCTGAAAGATGCCACTCATCCTTTCCGGGCTCCTCTTCCAAAGGCTACCTCTTCCAGGAAGCCCTCGCCCCATCCACTGGCCTGACCTCCACTTTTTCCTCACATTTCTGGGGCCCAGGTGGGAGCCTGAGCGAAAGCCCTCCTGCCGTTTTCCTTCTGCCCCAGGAGCCCCAGGTTCTCCGGCTACCTGTGCCTGGCATGATGTCTTCACACACCTGCAGGGCTCAGGAAGCTTCTAATACAAGTGCCAGAAAGAAACACCACCTCTCTGTGCTTGACCTCAGAGGGATGCCTTAGAATGAATGAATGCATTCATTCATTAAGCCTGACTGCTGACCACCTACAGTGTGCTTGTGACCACACGGGCAACGGCACCCAGGAAGCGAGAGGTCCTGCCCTCCAGGGAGGGGGACAGAGGCCTCAGTGTGCCATCCCTCGCCACACCCAGGGATGAGAAGAGCCCCTCACTCAGAGGGCGGCCATGAGGATTAGGTGACCTCACATGGGTAAGGCAAGGGCTAATACACCTGGGTACCCTGGAACTACTGGCTGCTGTTACCATCGTTATGATTCATTGAGTGGCTTCTGCATGTAAGGAACTGCGTGAAGTGACTTTCACACAAGAACTCATTTAATCCCTTGAAGTGGGCTCAACAGACACATGCCTTAGGACCTGAGGCTCCCAGGCTCCCAGAGGTAGTCAAGGGTAAGGTTGATAGTGGGCCTGGCCACTGTCCCAGGGAGCTTAGGGTCCAGTAAGGTGGCGCTTCCCTGCACAAAGATGGCGATAATGCAAGGAAGCATCCATTACAAAGGCCATCTAGAAGCCCACGAGAACTCCAAGAAGGGGCATAACTTCCTAAAAGTTCTTGGGGAAGCCAGCCAGTGAAGGCACACAGGAGACGTAAGCTGTGCTTCAAAGACTGGCTGCAGACAAAAACCCAAATAGTGTCCCAGGAAAAAAACACTTTATACATCAAATCACTAGCTTTGGCCTGGACTGAGTATATTGGCAAATATTCAACGACTCTGACTAAACATTTTTTTTAGCTAATATTCAAATGGCAGAGGA